CCCACCACCACACACACACACACACACACACACACACACACACACACACACACACACACACACGCCTGCACTTTTTTCACACTTTCTATTCCGCTCATAAAAACGTCTAACGTTTCGGAAGTTTAGAAAGATAGATCTAGCTAATGTTCTCTCTCCATTTCAAAGGGGGGAAGCCGCTTAGCCGCCATCCAAACCTACCTCTCTCCCTTTCGACTGTTAGCAGGGTCGGCCTGCCGTCTCGCTGTTTATTTATATTATACAATAAAAGGAAAGCAGGCGGGAGGAACCATTAAGACTATAAAAAAGCTCCGAGAGAAGGAGCTTAAGAGGAGAGGATCGCTGAAGTGATGAGACACCTGCCAAGGCAAAATCCCCCCAAATGCACCCTTAATTCCCTGCCTAAGCAGCCCCTTTTCTGACCCACTCCTATCCATAGCCTCCTACCTTGAAAAAAAAAATGATCAAGAAGACATCTAGAATTGTATCCGATCTCTCCTCCCCCCCACCCCCACACCACTTGTCCCCCTGATTGCATCACACGCTTTTCTTACCTTTCAGTTCTACAGGTTGAGTGCATGACCTCTGAAAGCGACCCCTTTTCCTGCCCATTCCCGCTCTCTCTAGGTGCAACGCCAAAAAAAAGCAACAATACATACCTTTAAAAAAATAAAAGCCCCCCTCCCCCCCCCAGTCCCCAGCTCAAAACAATCTCCTATGGCACTCGAGGAAGCCCCCACAAAAGTTCGTAAAGCTTTCCGGGCACAAAACAAACAAATAAAAGAACCCCCAACCCAAGAGCCGAGTTCCTCTCTGCTATCTTCCCCCTGAAGAGGGATTATTTCTCGATAAGAACCCCTCTTTCGCCCCCCTTCCTCCCCCCAGCATACACCACTATTGTCTTTAAAGACAAACAAAAAACTGCTACTGGCAGGGAGCAAGCGATAGGCCCTTCTGAGTATTTTGGGTTTGGAAACCCGCAAGTTTTCGTATTAATCTCATACTTTGTCAGTCTTTGTTAAACAGCTAGGCGTGTCCCGAGTCCCTTGAACATTTTAATATTTGTTAGACGCTCTGACCTGAGTTTCACCCCACTCCGGGGGCCGCTCCCACTGGTCTATAATACGCTTGCATAGTTCTCTCGGTCATATTGAATTTTACCCAGGTCATTACTTTGGAGAAAAATGGCAGGGCAAAGAATTTTATTCAGACCTTTCCTCGATTGCTTGAAATTCCAAGTGAGCTTAGTGCACATCATTTTGTTTATAAATTTCCCTTTGAAGATTTTTTTTTGAAGGAGTCCTAGTCATCCAATAATTATGACTGCCAGTCTTGCTTTCTTTGCAATCGAAAGCATCAACGTTTTGGTGTCTCGTAATAATCAGGGACTTCCTCTACATAACACGAAGCCTGAGATGATTCTCTAGGATGGGACTTTTAATAAGAGTCAACTTGATCTAGATCACAGTTAAAAATTAATAATAAAAAAATCGGGTGAATGTAAGTTTAGATGGAAAACAGGTCACCCCAGTTTTTCCTCTCTAAGCAAACGATTCATAGAAGGTTTGAATCGTCTGTTTTCTGATCGACTGTGCGTATCACTATATTTTAAACGCTTTACAAAAATTTACAAAGATCTGTACTTGAAAGAAGGAACTGCAACATTCCCCCCCCCACATCCTTTAAATACCCAAATGATAGGTGTAGTATGCATTACTAAGGGGATAAAGGTTAATAATCTCTAGGATATCTGAGTCATATAGGCTACATATTTTTTTAAACCGCCTGCACTGAGTTTACAGATCTATCTATCTATCTATCTATCTATCTATCTATCTATCTATCTATCTATCTATCTATCTATCTATCTATCTATCTATCTATCTATCGTTAATATATATATATACACACACACAACCACACACACTGTAGCATCGTGCTTGTTCCGGTGATAGAACAAGTAATTTGAAAAGTAAATTGGGATTAGAAGCACCTTTAATCTATTGTTTTTGAAGAAATCTCATTCTTTAATTTTATTTCGACTGCTTTTATGT